ATTCGGTTATACTTGTGAAGCAAAACGGTTGTGGGTTGATTCGGTGTGAGATCGTGATTGTAATTGTGCGTTTTGAAGGTGTTACTAACAAGGTTCAGAAGTCTTCCAGCATTGTTTGCAGATCACCTAATGCTGTTCAGCAGTTAACAATAGCTAGTAATTTTCTTCATTCCAATCACTTGCTCTGGTCTTTTTTTTTTCTTTCTGTTTGTTCACGCTCCTGCATATCAAATGGGGGAAAATGGTTTCTAACTATGAATTCATTGTCTTAAATGTGTATTTTTTTTTTCATATTGGTTATTGAAATTGCCAGGGGATATATATGAGTATGCTGTCGTCCTCAGTGTAAAAACCGAATATCAAGATGCATTTGAAAGGGATTTCTTCCCGTTGAAACCTTATTATACAGATGCCCGGTAACTGATTCCACCTCTTTATTTACGAGTACATAATATTAAGTTTCTAATATCGGATAGCTGAAATTCAAAATAAAACAATAGACATTATATGCCAAAAACCACACAATAGTATTTGTATTAGACTGTAATGCTATATCCAACTCATCTACTTTCATGTTGACCTATTATAATCTATGGGGACTTTTTGTATGTTGCAGTAATCGTCTTCCACAGTCTCCTCAGGGGTATCCAATACTCGGTCTCAATCTGCTGAGACTACTTGTGCAGAATTGGATAGCTGAATTTCATACTGAGTTGGAATTACTTTCGTCTACTGCTCTAGAGAATCCATGTATTAAGCATGCTGTGGAGTTGGAGCAATCTTTTATGGAAGGGGCTTACAACCGTGTCTTGAGTGCTCGGCAGACTGTGCCACATGAAACATATGTTTATTTCATGGATCTTTTGGCAAAGACAATCAGGTAAAAGTTATTATCATTCTGTATTTTGTCACTTAGTTGGACTTAGTCAGTCTGTTTTTGTATTGCTTTCTTTTATACTCCTTTCAAGTTCCTGCAATGGAAATTTGGCTCAAGCACCCATTATTATAATTTTGAATATCCATCACACCTTGGCTGTATGTTTTTTTTTGCATATAGATATCATTTTGCGGATCCTTTTGTATTTTTCTATAAAACATTCAGAGATGAGATAGCAGGATGCAGTGAAAAGGCATATGACTATCTTTGAATTAATGATGCTAAGCAAATATTGCTGTTCTCCAAAGACCAGGAGCTCTTGGAGTATATTAAAGAGGTTAGAATCGTCACTGCCTTTAGCATATCTAGTGCAAGCATGAGTGGGAAATGACATTAGTCTTGCCTAAGCACTGTACATTGATGTTGTATAATCAAGATTAATTTCTCTTATCACAATGCATGATGTTATCTTATATGTTTCACGTTTCCAATGTATATTGATCTTGTACTTTTACTTGATGTGCCAAAATTTCGCTGCACAATAATCAGAAAGATATATGTTTCACATTCCCATTCTAAAATTATTATCTACTGATTGCAGGAGCACTCTGAGTGGGAAATTAAGAACGGTTCCGTCTTCTTTCAAAAGGCAAAAGACACTGCACCTTGCAAGGAAATACCATCTCTGCAACTCATCAACCGAACACTTAGTTATGCTAGGGAGTTAGAGAGGATTGTCTGAAAGGAAATGCATGCAAATGGGCCTTAGTTTTCAGAAATTGCTATTACTGTCTTTTGAAGTTGTTCACTTCTGATTCAGTGTAGAACTAAAAAAATGATTTTACCTGTGTATTGTTTCTTGGTGTAACTTTTCCTTTCTTCTTTACTGTGCTAAAACTATTCTATACTTGCATTGACTTCTTTACCGTGCCTAAATTTCAAATATGTCGTAAGGTTCATATTCAAATCGAAGTGATTTGAGATCACATGTGCCTTCTATTCTTTTATCACTTTAGAAAATTTAGTGTGCTTGGTTATGAGATGACACATTTATTTTGACTGAATTGTTTGTAGTTAAAATTGTTTTAATATATTTTTGTAAAAGTGAAAGTATGCTACTACTTATACTGATTAGTTTATCTAGTAAATTTTGTTGGTGAAGAAAAAGAACAAGTTAATATAATCCTTTAATATGGAAAACACATGTAGTAGTAGCTAGTAGTTGTAGGAGAAATCATTTGATTCAAACATGAATAAAGTGATTCAATTCAATGTGATTGGCTTTTGTCCCTGTTATATTGTTTGTGATACATAATCACAGGAAATCCCAGACGCCTAGCAACTCATATTGAGTGGGAAAGCTGCTAAAAGTCCTTAACTTATAGCTTAGAAACATCTAAAGCTATAGGTTGTTTGTCAAGAACATTTAATGGAAAATTATATGCACCTATCTTTGGTTTCATTGACATAAGACCTGATCAAAAAACGTGTCGTGTAACAAGTTTTATATTTTTTATGTTCTTTAACAAGGAAGCTCTAGGTTATTGTCAAGAGATTAAAAAATGACCATCATTGAGAAGCATGAATGCGATAAGGATATAACTCATAATAGATTGTTATATATATGATTTTTTTATTAATTTGGTTTTGGCTCTCTCTTGTTCATATCTGCTTTGGAAGGAGATTGTGATTTCTAAACTATAAACAAATATAAATCTTTGGATATGTGTAGAATCAAAATTATTCTCCGAATTCGGACAATGGAACCGAAGATTTTTATCCATGCAAACTTCACTTAAACTAATCTCAAGTTCAAATCCTCCCACTTTCTGATGCTGAACATGGTATAGACAGTGTTCTATGTTCTATTTCAGCAGTTCACAAGGTGTTTGAATGTGTTACTCAGTTGAAACATTCTCTTTCCACTGACCTGAGTTCCGATTTATTCACATATATGTCAAACATGAAGAAGTTTGAAATTCTCACTTATAATTGTAAGTTAGTATCAGGTTGGCTGAAGAGTGTTTTTGATATCTCACAAAACAAAACAACAATTAGTACAATGAGTCTTACCTATTGAATGTTAACAAATCCTTGAGAATATTGCAAGAATTGTCGTCCTTTGATGGAGGAAATCTTAGCACTTCCCTTGACAAACTAGAGAATGCTTTTCACAAACTTCTAATAGCAAACTCTGATCAGCAAAACAATGATGGAAACCAAGGTTTGAAATTTTCAAGTTCTTTAACAAAATTACAAATTATCGCTGAGAGATTAAAAGCAAATAATAGGCTAGGCAAGTGTCGAGGTATGCATGTTGAAGTTCGTGAAACGAACGCTCGGAGAAGTTTGAAGACTTTGAATTTGAGCTACTTTGAGATTTCAACAACTGAGTTCAAGGTTGCACGTGGAATGGAAAATTATATAGATAAATGGGGAAAGCATTTTGAGTTGGTTGTTAAGAAACTTTTTTTGGTTGAATACAAGCTATGTACTATTGTATTTGAGAAAATCGGTCCAAAAGCTTGGATGAGTAGTTTTGCAAAGATTGTTGTTGAATCAAGAATCCTTTTTATCTATCAAATTTTGAAAGGTTGTTCCTGTGAGAAAAATTTAATCAACTTCTTAGAAGAGAATCTTGTGAATAAATTAGAATTGTGACAAAAGATCTTATTACAAGAGTTGTGAATGGTGCTAATGAGATATTTTGGATTAATAGACGAAAGTAATGCATTATTATTATGCAGTATAAAACTACAAGCAATATTACTCAACAGAAAACAACAACATCTAGGAACACTTTCAAACACCCAAACTGATAATTTGATTAAGCAGACCACTAATATAAAGTTGACAGGAGCATAAAAAACTCAAAAAATAAAAAGCAGAGAAAATCGTGCTATAATAAGTATGATAAATCTTATCAAAGTAATATAATAATTCAAGACAAAGTGATGAAAAACAATACAGTTAAAAGTTGCATGTAACACTCAAATGTTTGTGGAATCATCATATGCAGACTAATGAGTTTATATGACAAATTCACCACCTCCAATTTGGGAAGTTCAAAGTTCATTCCAACGGGTAGCCCCAGTCTTGAACAATTGGCTAAGTTCAAATGTCTAATGTTACAAAATCTCCTTAAAACTTGATCAATACCTTCATCAGATATACATTGGCAAGAATTCAAAGTCTCCTTAAAACATGAAAACTGATACAAAATCTCCATAAAACTCAAATTTTACTTCTAAAACGTGAAAACTGATATAAAATTAAAATGAAAATTCATTTATATGAAATTCGCAAAATAAACTAACTCAGCTGAACCTAAAATGACAACCATAAAAACACGTGCTTTCTCAAAAGCACTATTGCTTGTTTATTTATTTTGCAAAACCAAGAACAGAGTAAATTCAAAATTGTACAAGACAGTGTTGTTAGACCGTAGAAAAAACATATTGTTCAATTTCCTCTAAGCAATAGTGTAACAAAATAGAAATTATTCATAGACTATATAATATTGTAACATCAAACCATGTGAAATTATTCCCAGCTTGGAAGCTGAATCAAAATAGAAATCAAGATGAATGCTAAATTAAATTGTTATCTTTTCAATTCCAACCAAAGACAATGACATTTGATGTTTTGGGATGCATGTCTACACTGCCTTTTGTTTCTTACATATTTGCATATAAGAAAATGGATATTACACCGTTCAAATTTAAAACTTCATAGGAAATCTAATACTATATATTGATGATTATCATCGACCAAATGACGAGTAATTTGTCATAGAAACAAATCTAAAAATAAAATTAAAATTTTAGAAAACAAGACATTCATAACTAGCCAACAAAACTTCCCTAGAGTAAGAAGAGTTTTTTCTTTAATGAAAGCCTTGACAATTGTGTGCAGTTTTCAACCACGTTCATCATTGCCTTTTCCCTTTTCCGTGACACTGCAGTGTTTTATCATCAATACTTGTATCCGATAAGTTCAATACTTCTAGTTGAGGAACTACAAAGTTCATTTTTAGTCGTTTCACTTTCATACATCCATACAATAGGTCAAATTCAAATGTCTAAGCTTAGAACATCTACTTAGAATTTGACAAATACTTTTTTCAGAATTTGACAAATACTTTTTTCAGAATTTGACAAATACTTTTTTCAGTTATGCTATAGCAATGACTTAAATCAAGATACTGCAAATTTGGGAAAATGGAAGCAAACAATATGATGTCATTATTTTTTATAAAGGAATTGTGAGCCAAACATAGAAACTTTAATTGAGGGTATACTTCAAAATCCTTCAAAGAATTAGAACTTTCTACCCTTTGTCTTCCAATGCCTGACCTTTCCATTGTAATCTCAGCAAGTGAATGACAATTTCTAACGAGTGCAAACAAAGCAGATTTTGTGAGATTGAAACAATAAGAAAGTTTTATAGAAACCAAACCACCAAGAAACAAAGATATCAGGGCAATATGATGGTTCTTCAGGAAATCAGCTTGATGCTCCAAATGTTGTATCCCAGCTTGACGCAAATCCAAATGTTGTATCCCCTGACATTTGGATAACAAAGAATAAATTCCATCGTAACTATAACCGCTACAATTATTGAGAACAAAGGTCTTCAAAGGAAGAGCTTCCCTTGCAATAGAATATAGCAAATCATCTGAGATATGCGAATAACAGAACTTAAGAATATTCAAACCCTTCAAACTCACGAATGAATCAATATAGTGCGAAGTATCGCAGTTTGCATCCTTTAGCTCAATATTGGAAATAGATAAAGATTTCAATGTTGTTCTGTCACGGAGAGCCAAAGCAATGGTTGAGTCGAGATGACGAAGGCCGAAGCAGAGGTGAAGGGAATTAAGGTTGGGGAACCTATGGAAGACACGGGGGAGAAGATGGGATGGATGATCGGAAATACTGATAGAGAAAATGAGTCGATCGGTGATGGAGAGAAACTGTTTAGAGACGAGAGATAGAGATTTAAACAAGACTCTGTGTTTCTTTTCGGTTTCACCGTCGTCCCCGTTGATGATGAATTTGACCTTTTCAGTTTCACCGTCGTCCCCGTTGATGATGAATTTGAAGACATGCTCCCAGCACTCATCAGGTAAATAAAATTGGGGTTCAGATTTGATACAAGTTTTCTTCCTCTTTATCTTAGAGAGGAAGAAGGGTGATTTGTGAAAACTTTTCTTCTTTCTATTCATATTGAATACGACGACGGTACACGATGAACAAAGATGGAATTGTTGGTGCAGCGTGCCGCCACTTATTTGAGGACTAGGTTACAAACAGGGATTATAAATACCTAAAAAACTACCACCGATTTTTGGGCTTTCGATCATAATGGATATAAATTTTATGAAAATAAATATTTTAATTTATAAAAATAATTTACTTTATAGTTATACTCAACAACAACCAATTTGACAATTATTATGTGAGAAAATTATCATTGTTTGATAAATATTTAGATGATTATACCAAAATAAATAAATAAAGCTTAAAAACAATGCATAAAACTTCCCTCCGGTTGTACACAAAAATAATGCATACAAATTCCCTCCCACGTGTACAATCACATAAATATATACACATTGATTTTTGTCAATTTTGTCAATTATTAATTTAGAATAAAAATATTTATAATTAATTTTATGTGATTATAAATATTTATTAACATTTTTCTATTTTGAAATCAATTTTTGATTCTTCTGTTTTATATTTTTTTAATTTTTATATCCCTTCAACTTTAAGCATGTGAGAATAATAACTGAGATAAAAAGTATTATTTTATACTATTAAAATATCAATAAAGTTTCAACAACTCTAATTAAAATATAAAAAATATATAATATAGGATAAAGTTTTGATTTTTTACAAAAACAACTATTATTAAAGTAAAAACAACTCAAATAAACTATAAATATTTTAAATCCTACGAATCACTTTAGGCCTATAAAAAATATTTTAATTTACCCATTTAGTTTAGTTCCACTAAAGATGTTATTTATTATAATTATAGTAAAAAAATTTAATTTTGAAAACTAAAATTTTATTACAAATTAAATTTTAGATTAAATTTGATATAATAAATAAGATTGTTTTCTTTTATTCCACCATTGGTGGTCTATATATAGATATAAACTAGATATATTAAAAACAATTTTTTTAATAAAATTTATATAATGACTAAAAAGAAATAATAAATTTTAATATATTTTAAATGAATATATAAATATTATATACTCCTAATTTAACGTTATTTATTATGATTATATTCAACAATTTAATTTCGGATATTAAAATGTTATTAAAGATTAAATTTGTATTATAAATAAATTGATTTTGTTCATCATTGATGTATATATAGATATAAACTAGATATATTAAACACATAAGAAAAATCAATTTTAATTATAAAAGTGACCGAAGAGAAATAATATATTTTAATATATTTTAAAGATTAAATCTATTAATATCTTATACCTTAATGTTATTTATTATAATTATATAGCATACAATTAAATTGAAGGAAAAGACATACTTTTTCTATTTGATTTATTTGATAGACCAAAATTTAGTAACCATTGACGGGTTATAAAAATTATATAAGGTTTTTTTTTTTTTATAGAAAAACTATATAGTATACCATTAAATAGAAGCAAAAGAGATGGTTTTTTAATTTAATATATGATTTATTTGAGAGACAAAACATACTAACCATTTAATCCTCAGATGTAGACAGATTATAAAAAAGCATTTATTATTATTTTAAATTGATAGTAAATTAATTAAAAAAATCTGCTATAATAAATATTTGTGTTTGAGAAAAAAATTTGTTTTTTTTTTGTTTTGTTATGGAAGGTATAAATAATCTATTTTTCATTATTTTACTGAAATTGAAAGTAAATTGATTTAATAAAAATGTAACAATAAATATTTGTGTTATGAGAAAGATTTTATTTTGTATGAAAGGTTTAAATAACCTATTTTTCCCTAAGGTAATAGTACACCTAAATTTTTTTTACAGTGTCATTTAATCATAATCACTCATTTATTTAAAAGATTTGACTTTTATAATACATTAACAATATAAAATATTTTACACTTGCATAACAATTAATCTCTTTAAATTTTAATAAAATTAAAATTATGGTGATTTCTAGGATACATAAGTTTTAAAAAATATTTTAAAAATAATTTTTATAAATCAATTTTAAAAAAAAGTTTTGAAGAAAAAAATAAAAGAAAATATGTTTGATAATATAATTTTTAAAAATTATCTTAAAGTTGAATAATATTAAAAATTTGTCATTAATGAAAAATGTATAATTTTTCTTTATTTTTTTAAACTTTTTTTAATTTCCAAAACTAAAAACCAAAATCAAAAACCTCTAAAATCTACTTTCAAAAATTGAAACAATTTAGCGAATACTTGAAGCTCACGCTATAAATAAAACCAATAAAACAAACCCTAGTTCAGTTACCGTCTTTTTTTCTTCTTGTTGTTCTGTTTCTAGGGTTACAAATTCCTATATACGTCACTTTCCGTTTCAACTACCGATAATGCTGCTAACTCAAAACCTTTTTCCGATTCCGTTTCCGTTTTAAGCAACAGCAACAAATACTTTATGTGAATTGTTTCTTCTTCTTGTTTTGTTTCTAGGGTTACAAATTTCTATACACCTTGATACATCACTTTCCGTTTCAACTACCATTATGCCGCTAACTCAAAACCTTTTTCCGATTCCGTTTCGGTTTAAGCAACCGCACCAAATACTTTATTTGAATTGTCCCTTCAAAGATTGCTCTGTTTCAATGCTCTATAATGGCTTTGAAATTCTCACAAATGCTGAGTGTTGTAATTGTCACAGACTATTCTGTGCTCAATGTAAGGTTCCATGGCATTCAGGACTCACCTGTCAACAATTTCAAGTCATGTCATTTACCTATAAAACCACTTATTCGCGGAGCCGCCGCATTTCAGTCCAGAGCTTGATGCAGTCTTCTATTGTTTGTCACCAAAAGTGTTATTGTCCGTTCAAGGATTGCTCGGCTTTGTTGGTGAATGATGGGAAACAAGTTGTTACTAGTGCAGAGTGTCCCTCGTGTCGTAGACTATTTTGTGCACAATGCAAGGTTCCTTGGCATGGAGGAATCAACTGTGACGATTTCCAACATCAACAAAATATTCGGAATTACAAGGAGATGAAGAAGAAGGAGAAGGGGAAAGAAGCTGTCATCGAGTTTGAGACGAGGAATGAGAATTCTCCACCGTCACCAAAGTCCTTTTGTGGTATATGTTATGATTTCATTCCAAACTCTCATATTGTTAGAGGAAGTGCCACTTGCAATCATCCTTTTTGTGCCAATTGTATATCCAATCATGTGGCTGCACACCTAAGCCAGAATGTAATGGAGGTTGGTTGTCCAAATTCAAGCTGTTTCGAGGGGCTGAATCCAAATCATTTGCAACATATTTTGCCCCCAGAAGTTGTTGTTCGATGGGCATTCGAAAGGTTCTTTGCTAGGTGACCTAACAAAAATGGTGTTTTCTCTTTTTTTTTAATGTTAATTTAGAATCTCTTTGTCTTTAATCTCTTAGGCTTAGGAGTTGATTCTTTGTATGGATGAATATTATTATCTAAAGTTACTAGTGATTGGTTTTAATTAAGGAAAAATAAGTTTTTAATTAATGAGTTCGCCAAGATTTCGAAATTCTATGATTACATATTCTCATATTGCAATAAGAAAATCAGAGCTTCGTAGTTTGGGGTAGAAAATAAGTATTTGTTGGTGAATTTTAGGGACCTATGTTATAATCGTATAAAAGTGTTTTGACGTTAAATGATATGATCTTAGTTCAGATGTTTCAAGCTTTTAGTCTGACGGCTAAGGAATGAATTATAATAGTTCTTTTATGAAAAAGAACTAGTAAAAGACTTGTGCATCCGCATGAGTATGAGGAAAAGTATAATCTTACATAAAACCGTTACATTACATTAGCTAAATATTATCTATAATTCAAAGATAAAACTTAAAAAAAAACAATAGTAGCCTTTGTTTATTATCAATCTATATCAGATTCAATTTGTATATACATAGGATGATCCATGCACTCTATATTTTTATACCTTCCAGACAATGATATATTTAACAAATATTGTATATTTAACAAATATCGTTAATGATCCATAATAAAAACATATAAATAAAGAAAAATATAACAAATGTTGATATGATATTAAATTATTTAGACATAGATGTAAATTTAAAATAAATTACTTAATTGTAAAATGATTAATGGTCATATAAAATCAATTGTATTAAATAAGCATTTGAAATGTCAAGCTTAGTTTGAAATTTATTTGTTAGCTAGCACGAATAAATTTATTTGATACCTTATAAATTGTATTTAAATGAGCATGTAAATTTTAAATAAATTATTTAATTATAAAATAAACGTTGATCATATAAATTTAAGTGTATTGAATAACAATATAAAAAATAACATGTGAAAAGGAGAAATAAAAATAAAAATTAATTTTTTACATTTAAAAAAATTTTTATCTCTCAAATAAAATCATCTGACATTTTAAAATAATCTGAAGAAGAAGAAACATCAGAATCGGGGAGTGATGACTGCAGTGATATGGCTGTAGGAGGCTTTTGCGCATCACCCGACATTTTAAAATCATCTAAAGAAGAAGAAACATCAGAATGGTTAGGCACAAGAAAATCTCCTCTGCTTTGATTGAAGTGAATATGATTTTGTAAAATTGTTAATTAAAATATCATATATAAATGTCAAATTTAGCTTGAAATTTATTTGTTAGCTAGCACGAATAAATTTATTTGATACAGTATAAATCGTATTTAAATGGGCATGTAAATTTTAAATAAATTATTTAATTATAAAATAAACGTTGATCATATAAATTTAAGTGTATTGAATACCAATATAAAAAATAACATGTGAAAAGGAGAAATAAAAATAAAAGTTAATTTTTTACATTTAAAAAAAAATTTATCTCTCAACACTCTTATATCAATGATAAGATGAAACCAACAACTACTAATTCATTTAGAGAATAGAAAGCAATGGTCATAGGGTGTGCTACAGAGACAGTGTGAACATGTGAAATTGGAAAAGACACAGAGATAAAAGGCAATGCAATTCTTGACAAATTGAAAGTTACTTTGC